AACGCAGTGTCGCGTTGCCAGTTTTGTTCAAACAGTCATATGGGGTCTGACAATTAAGTTCACGAACTCATTGCACTGATGTTGCTAACCATTTTTTATATCAGAGGGATTATTTATTATGAATTTGTATCAACTGGACAGACGGTTAACGAAGTTTACTATTTGGAAGTGCTGAAAAGGCTGCGTGAAAAAGTTAGAGACCAGAACTTTTCGCCAACAATTGATGGCTTTTGCATCACACCAATACACCAGCTCAGTTTTTTGGGTTTTTTAAAAGATTTTTACTGGGGAATTGGGGGAAGGGGAACAGACAAGTTGCTGTCCTTTTGTCCTTCAGTCTAGTTGTGGAGGACGTTGCTTCACTGGCCCAAGTTGGCACCATCATTGCGCTCTTCCCGGGTGAGGCAGATCAGTCGCTGACTTCTGGACGGCTGCTTACTGCGCCTGCTGGCTGCACACGGTAGCCCATGGCAACCCACTGCCAAAGGGGCTGCAGCCTACGCAGTCACCGACGACTCCCGGCAGCCCAGCTCCAGGTCGAGCTGTTGTTCAGCATCTTAGCTGTAGAGGGCAGTGTCACTGGCCCTCATATGTGGGATCCGAACCAGGGTCCTCTGGCATCCCAAGCCAGCTCTTAACCATCGCGCCACTCGGCCGGCCCGACCAGCTCACTTTTTAATCAGTAAACGAAGAACTGTATTGGAACGTCCTCCCTACTCACCTGATCTGGCCCCCAATGACTTCTTTCTTTGTCTGAAGATAAAGGAAATACTGAAAGGAAGACATTTTTATGACATTCAGGACATCAAGGGTAATGTGACAACAGCTCTGGTGGCCATTCCAAAAAGAGTTCCAAAATTGCTTTGAAGGGTGGACTAGGCGCTGGCGTCGGTGCAGCTTCCCAAGGGCAGTCCTTCGAAGGTGACTAGTGGTGTTCAGCAGTGAGGTATGGAGCACTTTTTCCTAGGATGAGTTTGTGAACTTCATTGTCGGACCTCGTTTGTTGAATTGTGAGCGCCTGTTGTTTCCGGTGTCTTCCTTGCTTCTTGGAGCGCCACTCGCAGCTGGCCGCACTCGCCTTCTGTCTGTTGAGGAGCATGCGTAACAGTGCACGTCTGCTGCAGGTGATTGAGTCTTCAGCTTTTCATAGCTGCAAATGCCTTCGTTTTGTCTACTGAGTGAGGGTTTATTGCCACCTATACTTCTGTAGCTTGCCAGCTTTTCTCGCGGGGCTTGGAAGATGTTCCCCCACTAACTTCCTACGTGCTTGGTCCTGCGGGAAGTCGCAGTCACCCTTGTCTTTGTTCCTCTGTATGTGATGTGTCTGTTTCCTCTGGCTGCTTTCCTGGTGTTCTCGTTATCACTAGTGGTAAAGCGATTTGATTATCAGGGACATTGGTGTCATGTTCTTCAGGGTCCTTGTGTTTGGGGATCATTGAGCTTCTCGGATGTGTGGGTTTGTTGTTTTCATCCAGTTGTTTCTTCCGTTACAGTTCCTGTTGCCCCCCTGCCTTCTCTTTCCTCGCTTTGGGGGCTCCAGTTACAGAAATGTTAGGTGGCTTGGAGCTGTCCCATAGCTGACTGAAGCTCTTGTTGGCTTTCTCAGCAGTTTGTACTGCTTGGCCTTGCTGGTCCTTTCCTGTCAGGCTTCGGTGTCATTTGTTGCTTTTTGTCTTAGAAACAAACCTGGAAGTAGAAGTAATGTTGAAACTTGTAAACAGGAAGGGTTTCTTAATGTAAGATACTAAAAAGATTACTCACAAAGCAAAAGGCTGTTGTTACATTTATCTTTGTGAAAACGTAGCCTGTCTTATCAAAAGACTCCAAAAGAAAATAAAAACATGCCATTAACTGAGAGAAGGTATTTGCCTCACTTAATTAAGGTAACTTAGTATCCGGAGTTTGTAAAGAAGTACTATAAATAGGAAAATGACGTCCTGATAGAAAAAGCTGGCAGAAACGTGTGTAGACATTTCAGAGGAAGTGTGGTTGGCCAACAGACGTGTGAACAGAAGCTGAGAGGTGTGAGGTGCTCCTGTCAGTGAGAGCCTGCTCATGGTGGTGGGAATGCAAGCTCTTTGATCCATGTGGAAAACAATTCGACAGTGTCTTGTATTGTCGGGTCATTTGTACTCTGTGTTTCCGGCTGTGTACCTGGGGGAAAACGGATAGGAACAAGCACTCCACGTGGAAGAGTTTGTCGGTGGACATGGGTAAGGGTATACTTAACTGGCTGTAATGGGAAAATCAACCCCAAAACAACCCAGATGACAGAAGAAGAGGTGAATTGTGGTGTATTCTCCGAGTGGAATAGTAGATAGCATGCATGCTTGTTTTATTAAAAGCAAGGAAGTGGTCAAGTCCTGGGCAGTCATTGTCTGGGGACCACAGGCGTGGGAGCAGAGAGGCGTGTAAAAGTAGGTGCCATCACGATGGTTAAGAGCTGGCTTGGGATGCCAGAGGGCCCCGGTTCGGATCCCACATATGAGGGCCAGTGACACTGCCCTCCACAGCTAAGATGCT